GGGGATAAAAAACATGAACTCCTATTTTAGGGATAAGCACAATGTTTTAGTCCTATTAGGGGTGATTTCTATTTTCAAAAAGTCAAAAGTGAACAAATACTATTAAACGGAAGGAGTACATTACAATCCTAATTCTAACTTATTTTTATGCATGATTTAGAATATATATATATATATATATATATATATATATATATATATATATATATATATATATATATATATCTAGTTGATGTTATTTTTAATTTATTTAATTTATTCTTATTTTTTAATGCCAGATTTAGAATATATATCTAGTTGGTTTTATTTTTAATTTATTTTATTTAAATATTAATGTGACGTTAAAAATTACTACTCCATTGAATTTGGGTTAAACCAAACAAGATTTGATAATCCATTCAATAAAAAAACTATCAGGTACTAATACAAAAATAATTTAATTAGTTTTATCATTTAAAAACAAAAAAATCACGGTATTCATATGTCACACAAATTTAATATAATTAATTATTAAAAGTTGTCCAATTTGACATGAAAAAATCGTAATGGTAAAGTATTCTATAACTGGAAGAGTATATACCATAACAAACAAAATAAATAAAGTCTAACAATATAAAAGTAACATGATTATGTTATTTTAAAAAACGATAAATGAAAATATATTTAAAACTTGAAAAATTAAATTTAATGTGGAGTATGGGACAACCACAACATGCATATTAGTAAAAAAAAGGATGAATCCCATCGCGAGGGCATCTTACAACCGGCCAGACAGTCGTCTGAGATAAGCAGGGGCGGAGGAGGGGGGGCATGCCTGGGCAATTGCCCCCCGGCGAAATTCCGGCGAACTAGGGTTAGTGTACCCGAGCGGTGATGGGAGGCCGGATTTGCCCCCCCAATTGTCGCAGCGCCGCAGGTGTTCTCCACTGCTCCAGTGACCGATCGAAGAAGATAAGGAGCAGTTGCCGATAAAAAAAAGAAGAGACAAAACGACGGCGTTTTAATATTGGGTTTAAAAAAATTATTCAGACCGGGTCAACAGCCCAATTGCCCAAATGCCCAATTGACCAAAAAAAAGGAGTGGCGCACCAGTAGCAGAAACGGCAAAAGGCCTCAAGCAATTATTCCTTCTCCCTGGTCGGCGAAACTCGAAAGTCGAAAGAGCACAGGGCAGCACTGGAGATTGGAGAAGAAATCCAAAATTCCAAACGCAGTGTCGAAGGATTCTTGAATTCTTCTGTGCTTCTTCATCCAAACTTCGGACTTCCCATCTTCTTTCTAGGTATGTGTAAATTTTAATTATCAAATTATAAAATTTGTTTCTTAATATTTGAAATTTTTGAATATTACTAATTTATGTTTTGAATTTGGAATATTTATTTTGTTTCGTGATTCTAGTGTGTTTGTTAATATTTAAATATTTGATAAATCTTAATGTAATTTCAAGTTCTAGAGATTATTGAAATTTTATTTTGTTACTTTATTATTGGATCAGGAAAATTTGAGACGTGAGATGGATAAATTTGTTATTAGACAAAAGAAGAATCTAGAATTTGTAAGTGATAGAGACAATGAAAAAGAAGCTTCTTCTTCTTCTTCTAAAGAGAAAGAAAGTGTTGTTTCAAATGATGATATTATTG